AAGATGAGAGAGGAGAGCAAGAAAAATGTCTCCTTCCACAGAGTACCCATGAGGGCTTGCTTGAAGGTCAGAGAATCTGGCTTATGGTCCCTCCTTTGCCCCCAGAGTCCTTGGCATCCACAGGCAAGTCCCTTCAACCTCTAGGCCTAGACTTGCTCATCTGTAAAGTGAGCCTAAGGGTGACTATATTCAAGGGTCAGGTACGGTGTCACAGGCCTTTAATACCAGTACTTGGGGGACAGAGACGGGGGAATATCTGTGAGTTGAAAGCCAGCACGGTGTACAAAACACTTCTAAGTGGGCCGTAACTACACAGTGACACTTTGATTTTGAAAAGAACGACTATTTATTCAGGAGCTGGAGACTTGGCTCACCCATAGAACTCTTGCCCAGCACCCACCAGTGAGGTGCTAAGCTCAGGGTGTGGCTCAGCAGTATCCTTGCCCGGCTTGCAGGAAGCCTACATTCTATTCCCAGCACTGGGAGGGGGGGAATCCAAATCACTAAAAACCTGTTCATTCAGTCTGCTTCACTGCTGTGAATAGACAAGGAATGGCTATTCAGCACTTTCAGAGGGTGGCCCATGGACACGGGAAATATCTGTCCACCACGAGTTGACAAAGGATTCAAATCTGTTAGCCCAGCAGCAAAAGCGAGCAAGAGAGAGGGAGAGCAAGCAGAAAGCAGGCGCGGACTGACATCTCACCAAAAGAAAGGTAAATAAGCGTGGGGAGAGGTGTCCTGCACGGTTAGCCATTAGGGAAAGATCCAGGAGACCAATGGCTGGGGTGTGGCCCCCTGCTGGGGGCTTGCTTCACTGCATAAAGCTCTCAGTTTAATCCCCAGCACCACAGAGAAGAGGGGGGGGAGGAGGGGGAGCAGGAGGGGGAGCAGGAGGGGGAGCAGGAGGGGGAGGGGGAGCAGGAGGGGGGAGCAGGAGGGGGGGGAGGAGGAGGTCAGATTTCAGATGTAGACTTGAATGGCACAAACTGGAGCTGTGTAAGCCTGTGGGTTAACTTGGAGTTTCTCCATGGAGGAGTGGAAAGGGCTGTGGTTTCAAGCCAGAGACACCTTGGTGCAAATCTCATCCCAGCCTTGTGACCTTGAGAAAAATCATTTCCTTTCACTTCCCATATCCATGAGATGGACAAAATACTATATGACTTAGGGTTGTGTTGGTTTGTGTTAATTTTTTAAAAAGATTTATTTATTTATTATGTGTTCAGTGTTTTGCCTGCTTGCATGTCTGCACACCAGAAGAGGGCACCAGATCTCATTATAGATGGTTGTGAGCCACCATGTGGTTGCTGGGAATTGAACTCAGGACCTCTGGAATAGCAGCCGGTGCTCTTAACCTCTGAGCCATCTCTCCAGCCCCAGTTTGTGTTATGTTTAATTAACCAATTAATTTTTTAAGTAAAGTGTCCCTTTGTAGACCAGTCTGGCCCCAGACTCACAGAGATCCTCCTGCCTCAGCCCTTGTACACTGGGAGTACAAGTTTAAGTCACCACTCCTGGCCTTAGAGGATTCATTTACTAGACAATTTCAGATGGTAAAGGTAGGTTCTGCCTCCCAGATGTCCTTCTGGGAGGATCTAAACAGCCAGAGGCCTGGTGCTCACAGCTCTACACCTATGGGCATATATGTCAGGCCTAAGAAGACACTAGGGGCTTCTTCAGGACTCCCCGTGGCCTCATTCCAAGAACACTAAGGCATAGCACAAAGGCTGGGTGTCACTGGGCAGTATACATAAGCGCCCTTGTCATGTGTAGGGAACTGCTGCCTCACCATTCTGACAATGGGGAAACTGAGGCTGAGCTGTCTGACAGTTGTCTGAAGAGAACACACGCCTGCTGAGTCAGGGGCCTGGCCAGCAGTTCTGGAATGCAGGAAAGCTGTAAGTCACGATCAGCTGCTGTGCTGACTCCCTAGGACTGTCAGCTGCACTTGATCATGGTGGGAGGCTGTGCCGTGAATCACCCACACTCTGGCCACTGAAGTCACCTGGGTGGAGCTAAGCTGGAGCAGAGGCTCCTTGACACCTCAGACAGGTCTGTCCTGACTGTGACATCTGCCCACGTGGGGGTGCATCTGTCATGCTCCGGGAAAATACCCAAGCAGGTGCCACAGAAGAGGCAGAGAGGGAAACTGAAGCTCAGGGAGGGAGGTGCCTAGTGACAGGATTAGAAGGCAAACCAAAGGTAGCAGGTGGCTTTGGGGACACTTTCTGTGTGCCAGGCATTTGAACCTGCAGACGGCAGATGTCAGCACAGCAGGCTAAGATAGCCTGGTCTCTCACAACTTCTCTGGATGGAGCATGTCTGGGTGTCTGGGAAGGAGCGCAGGGTCTGAGAGGTTTCTGGGTGATTCTGTCCCTTGCTCCTTTGGTGAAGTGAGACAGTATGAGAATAACCAAGTTAGTTGTTTGTTTTGGAGACAGACTCCCCCATGCAGCCCAGGCTAGCCTGGAACCCAACATTGTCTTGACTAACTTCTGAGGGCTAGGATTGTAAGTGTGAACTACTATGCTCAGTTTAAGAATACCTAAATTAGTCTAGCCTCCTCATACTGGCTTAAAAGGGGCCCTGAGCTGGGCAGTGGTGGTACAGGCCTTTAATACCAGCAGAGGGAGGCAGAAGGAGGCAGAGCTCTGTAAATTCGAGGCCAGCCTGGTCTATAGAGTTCCAGAATAGCCAGGGCTGTTACACAGAGAAACCCTGTCTCAAAAAACAAGCAAATAAACAAACAAAAATAAGGGTCTTGAAGTTTCTTTTTATATACTGCTCTTGGGAGGAGGGCCCATTGCCCAACCTATCAACATATTTCCCTTCTAGCAAGTTCTAGCAAGGTGGAATTTTGCCTGTGTGCTTGTGTGTCACTGAACACTGGCCATCAGGGCTCTTCTCCGTGGCCTCTGAATCACAGTCTCATCAGATAGGAACTGTTGGAGGAAGGAGGAGAGTTACAGTCAGTCTGAGGGTTTCCCTCACCCCTACATCCTTACCCCCACGTTCCTGAGACCTGTTGGCTGTGCTCTCTGAACCAGCCCCATCATACACTGCAACTACTAAACATTTTAGACTTTCAGTGGCTACATTAAAAATAGTTTTAAAGTTTTACTAACATACTTTATAAACCAAGTCTATCCATCAGTAACTCATCTAACATCATCAATGCAAAAGGCAAAGGAAGTATGAGCAGGGCGTGGTGGTATATGCTTTCAATAATAGCCTTTGGAACCAGGCCGTGGTATACACACCTTTAATCCCAGCACTCCGGAGGCAGAGGCAGGCAGATACCTGTAAGTTTGAGGTCAGCCTGGTCAAGAGAGTGAGTTACAGGGCAGTCAAAGCTACACAGAGAAATCCTGTCTTGAAAAACCAAGGGGGGGGGGGGGGGGAGATCTTGGGAGACAGAGACAGTTGGATCTCGGTTAGTTTGAGGCCAGCTTGGTGTACATAATGAGTTCCAGGACAGCCATAGCTACATAGTGAGGTTCTGTCTCAAAAAGAATTATTCTCTTTTTTTCCTTCCAGCATTTGCAATTCAGTATGCATTTTTCATGCCCTGGGCATCTCAGTCACCCAGTCACCGTCCCCAGGCCCTGTCATCCCTGTGGCTGGCAGACACGGTCCTTCTTAGCATACCCTGGAAGTTCCCATGACCCTGCCCCTAGTCCCCTGTCTCCCTGTCCCTCAGTCAGTTCACAGCAGCTTCCAAGGGCTGAATTCTGAGCAGACCTGACCGTGCAGCTCCCCACTGCCCCCAGGTCCCCATGTAGTTCCTTGGTCTGCCTCTCTGGCTTTCTCTCAGTCTCTTTTAGCTCCAGACACCCCCACCCCCACCCCCACCGCTGCTGCCACACACACACACACACACACACACACACACACACACACACACACACTAGGCTGTTCAGATCTCATTCTCATTCAGCAAAATTGACTGAGTGCCTTCTACACAGTGGTCACTGTCCCAGGTCCTATAGCAACTACTCTATGAAGAAATCTGTACAAGAAAATAACCTGGGGTGGGGACCATGAATGAAGCAGGCTGAGCGGTAGTAGAGCTGGGGCTCCTGCTCTAGTAGGTGATCAAGACAGGCCCCTTGGGGGAGGTGACATTTGAACAGAGACAGAAGAATGTAGGAAGGAGCCAGGTGGCTTTCTAGGGACAGCCAGTGCACACGCCCAGAGTTTGGTATCTATCTGGGATATTTGGAGATTTTCCAGTATGGCACTGGCTGAGGGAGAGGGACTTTGTGAGAATGGCTGTGTCCTGAGAACCGGAGGGCATGGCAGAAGCAAGGTGGCTGGGATGGTGGTGTAGACTTGCATGGTGACAGGGATGGTGGTGTAGACCTGCATGTGGCTGGGATGGTAGTGTAGACCTGCATGTGGCTGGGATGGTGGTGTAGACCTGCATGTGGCTGGGATGGTGGTGTAGACCTGCATGTGGCTGGGATGGTGGTGTAGACCTACATGTGGCTGGGATGGTGGTGTAGACCTGCATGTGGCTGGGATGGTGGTGTAGACCTGCATGTGGCTGTGGAAGTGAGTGGGGGCGGCACCCGGGACAAGTCAGACTTGCCTCACAGGTCAAGTGTATACTAAGCTTGAGAGAACAGTCAAGGGCTGGGCCTGAGCTCAGGATGTGGGTGGCTCCTTTCCCAGAAAGCTCCTGGCTTTGCCTTTTGCCCCTGCTGACTGGTACTCCCCAGGACAGTGGCAGCACAGGGTGACTGAGGAGTGCGTGCAAGACTAAGGTGGCAGTTGTGTGACGTTTCCTGACTCTAGAAGACTTGGTTCCTCCCCATCCTAGACAGGTGCTGCTCTGCTGACCTGCCCTGGCTCTGGCCCAGTTCCCTTCCCAGGAAGCACTGCCCTAGCTTTCAGGCCCTCCCATGGTCGCTGAGCTCCCTGCATATACATACCACTGCAGCCTCAGCTTCCAGGAGCAGGGAATGTGACAGAGTCTTCTAACTTGTAGGGCAGGTCAGGACACGTGACTGGGGCCTGAATCAACCTCCTGTGCAAAGAGGGGTTGCCCAAGACACACCTTCCTGGGAGCTTGTCACAGCCTAGGGCGACCTAACATGGTTGCCGCTGGGGGCTTGGGGTGACCGACCATGTGATCCTGGGATCTGCAGCAGTACGTCTGCCACCATCTGCCCCTCCTAGCATGCTGGGGAAGAGGCAAGTCAGACAGGAAGGCCTGGGGGCTGATAGCACCACAGGAAGGAATGCCACAACACCCGGGTGAGCCAGTGAGGCCCAGGGGCAACGTCATGGTGTCATGGTTGCCCCGCCCTCTGCTTGTCAGGATGCCATGGCCTCTCCTTCCCCAGTCGGGCCACATTCGCAATCAGCACAGTGCTCGCCTTGCTACTCACACAAGCCCAGGGACTCCAGGTAATGGGACATGGGACTGGTCAGGCAGAGGGGCAGGTGGCTGGTTTTAGGACTGGGAGACATGGTTGATCCTTAGGCTTGGCTCTGTGTGCTTCCTTTGGGGACTTGGGATGGAAGCCCAACTGTGTACCTTCTAGATGGCTGAGGCCCCTAGTCTCCACTGTGGGTGAAGTCGGGCCCCAGCTGAGGGATGCAAAGGGTTTGACTTGGATCAGTTAAAGCCACCACCACCCCTCCTGGAGGAGGAAGCCCCCTCCCCCGCCCCACAGGAGACCCAGCCAGGTTGGGAGACATGGGAGAAGCCTATGCTGAAAGGCACCTGTAGAGTCATTACTGACCACAGTGGGAGGAGAGCGGGCAGAGCCTCTCAGGGATGACCCACCAGGGATGACCCCCCGGGGGTGCTGGCATACCCCAGGGAGCCAGCCCCACCCACCCCACTTGGGGTCACTTCTCTTCATGGCAGCCATCCTCACCCTGCGGTCTCTGCCCAGAGCATCCTGGTCCTCAAGCTTCCAACAGGCTTTTTAAGGGGGAGAGAGGTTATTCGAGAGGTTATCGTCTTCTTTTCTGTGTAAAATGCCCCAGAGACTCCAGAGCCCTACATAGAGCTTGGGAGCCTGTGCTAGGGGAGGCGTGGTGAAAGGTAACTTGTGGGGGTCCTGCTCAGAGTCAGGCAAGCAGATCGTAAGGAATAGGACTGGACTCAGGGTGACGTGGCAATGCCACCTGGGCTCTGAAAGTCCCCTGAAGCTGCTTTCTCAGCCATGACTGTTCTTGCTCTCTCTCTTTGTCTCTGTCTTTCTCGCTCTCTCTCTGAAACAGCTTTATGAACCAGGTTTGACAACATATATCTGTAATCCCAGTACTAGAGAGGTAGGGTCAGAAGGATCAGGAGTTCAAAGTCACCCTCAGCTACATAGTAAATTCAAGGCCAGCCTGGGCTATATAAGACCCTGTCTCAACTGCCCCTGCCAGCCAAAACTACGTTATTGACAGATGGAATTTACTTGCCATAATCTCTCTCTCTCCCTCCCTTCTCTCTCTCTCTCTCCCCCCCCCATAGGGTTTCTCTATGTAACATCCCTGGCTTTCCTGGAACTTACTCTGTTACTCTGTACCTGAGGCTGGCCTTGAACTCACAGAGATCCACCTGCCTCTGCCTGCCAAGTGCTGGGATTAAAGGCGCATGCCACCATGCCCCGCAATCTTTCCCTTTTATAAGGTTCAGTTCAGAGGTTTCTCATATGTCACTGAGTTATAAAACCTTGACTATCGTGTATTTAAAACACTTTTTAGATAGAGCTGGTGTCCCACAATGGGCGCTTCCCCCACGAACACTGACTGTCTTGACCCAATGGATGCAGCTTGGCATTTCAGACTCTGTAAAAATGTGTTTATTTGTGGATTATGTATGGGCTACCCGTGTGTGCATGCTACGGCACAGATGTGGAGGTCAGAGGGCAGCTCTTGGAAGCCAGAGTCCTCCTTCCACACTGTAAGTCATGGGAGATGGAACTCAGGATGTCAGGTTTGGTGTCAAGTATCTTTACCTGCTGAGCCATCTCTCTAGCCTGTGGCTGGGCAACTCACATGTAGTCCCTCCTGACTTGATGCTCACCCACACTGCACCAGACCCCCCTTCCTTCCCCTGTGAGGCTGGATAGTCCTATTCATGCCTTATTTTGTGCATCACTTAGCAGTTGGTGGGGATTTGTGCTGTTACCACTCTCCGGCTGTTTCAAATGAAGCAGCACAAGCATTCATGTGTTGGTCTCTGTATAGATAGGGGTTCTCACTTCTTTTAAATTTTTCTTTTTAAATAACGCTTACTTATTTAGTGTGTGGATATGTTTGTGTACAAGTGCACACGCCACAGCGCATGTGTAGAGGTCAAGTACAACATGCTGGAGTTGATTCTCTCCTATTGTTAGGTCCTGTGGATTGAATGATTGAATTCAAGTCGTTAGGCTTGGTGGTAAGCACCTTAACCTTAACCCATTGGGCTTTTTTTTTTTAACGAGACAGGGTTTCTCTGTATTGTTTTGGAGGCTGTCGGTCCAGCCTGGCCTCGAACACACAGAGATATGCCTGCCTCTGTCTCCCGAGTGCTGGGATTAAAGGCATGCGCCACCACTGCCCGGCCCCATTGGGCTATCTTACAAGCCCAGAATCCAGTTCTTTTGAGTATATACCTAGGAGAGGAATCCTGGATCAGCTGGTAACTATGGTTAGCATTTTGAGGTACTGTCCAACTATTCTCTAGGGCAGACTACACAATCTCACCTCGCCACCACAACCCACAAGAGCTCTCGCTAGTGTCTCCCCATCCTTGCCAACACTTGTTATTGTCTGTCTAACTTTAACCATGCTAGTGGGAGTGAAGTGGAATCTCATTATTGTTTTGATTTGTATTTCCCTAATGATTAATGATATAGAGATCTACTGGCCATGTGTACGAGAAACATTTATTCATATCCTGTGCCCACTTTTAAACTGGGCTAGATGTCATTTTATTGCAACACACTCACACACACACCAGCAACAACACAAAGCAAAGGGGCATACAGAGCAAATGTCAACTCACTTCAGAACATGGAGCAGCCATCTCCAGATAAGCCACTTGATGAAAACCGAGCATTCAGGGCACTGTGCGACTGAGCTGGCGAGCTTTGCTTAGGTACAGCAGTGCATTCTCAACTTACCTACATCTCATGGTGTGTTGTCAGGACCCAATCCCACTGTAAGTTGGTGAGCATCTGAGTCTACACATTAGGTGCCGTGCGGTCGTGTCCTGAAGCCTGGTATCCACAGGGAGTGAAGATGACTACTGAAAAGAGGAAGAGCATCTTTGTTTTTTTAAAGCACTTTTCTTGATATTGATCCAGTAAGCAATTTTGCCCAGGCTAGAGTTGCATGTCCTCAATGATAGCAAGGCTGGCAGAGGACTTGGTGCCATGGCAGGGCCGACTGAGCTCCTTGTACTTCCAAGATTAGCTCCATCTCCATCTGCGTTTTTTTTCCCCCCTGGGGACTCTGAGGCCACTTGCTCACCCTTGGGGCTGATTCAGTGACAAGTGTGTCGACTGAGTCTCACATCCACCCAGTGGTGCTCCTGCACACTGCTTGCACCTCAGCCTGCATTGTGGGGGCTCCTCAATGGCCTTGGGGACACTGCACAGGGACACTTGTACTCTGCTTGACATGGACCAAGGGTGTACATCAGGATTGTACTATGTGCTATTAGCTGCTTTTCATTAAAAATGCAGTAGAAAAAGGATCCTAGGGCTGGAGAGATGGCTCAGTGGTTAAGAACACTGGCTGCTCTTCCAAAGGGCCCAGGTTCAATTCCCAGCATCCACGTGGCAGCTGACAAATGTCTGTAACTCCAGTTTCAGGGAACCTGATGTATTGACACAGACATACATGCAGGTAAAACACCAGTGCACAGAAGGAAAGAAAGGAAGGAATGGCGGGGGGAATCCTGTGTGGCAGTACACACCTTTAATCCCAGTACCCTGGGAGTCAAGTGTATCTCTCTAAGTTTGAAGCCAGCTTGCTCTACATAGTGAGTTCCGGGACAGCCAGGGATACACAGTGTCCCTGTCTCAAGAGACAAACAGACTTTGTTTCTGCCCTGGAGATGTTTGTTCCAGGGACTAACCGGTTTTGGGCTGAGGACGTGGTCACTAACGGTTACTGCTCACAAACTGGATTCCACACTTGACTGCGCTCAGGGCCACCCAAAGCAGTTGTTCTGAGAAATTACTTCGTGTTCTGATCTGGATGGTTTCACAGCCCAAATGGGAGTGACCCTGTACTGACCCTGGGTAGCAGCCTGGGCTTGCTCAGGTGGTGTTCAACCCTGAGTCCCTGTTCCTCCAGCATGTCTGTTAGATGGAGTCTTGGGCCCCCACATCCTCTGGGTTCTGTTGGTCTCTCCAGATCGTGTTCTGTGCAGAGCACGAATCCAAGGAAGAAGGGTGGGGTAAAGAGGATATTCAATGCTATAAGGAAAACAATATATTTATTTACCAGAGAGAGAGTCGCACAAGCTAGGAGTTAGAAGCGTGGCTGGCTTTCAAGAGAATAAAGGGAGGGTCCTTTTCCTTTCACTGTCTTTTATATCTACCTGTGTCAGTTTACATGTCCCCGCCCTCGTGGGCGGATAGCCTTGTGGGGTTCACCCCTACAGTGGGGAGATGGGGGTCGTCTTCCTCATGTGGACTCTGCTTCTGTTCATGTGGCTGTGCTAGCTCGCCTCTGTGCTTGCTGCCTTGTTGGTTTATACTGCCACCTTAGCACGCAGTCATTGTCTACCTACTATGTGTTGCACATCAAGCTAGATGCTTACCTTTCAAGTTATCTTAAAAAACATCTCAGGTCTTCAGACGTTCAAGGCCAGTTACATGAAATCGTCTGCCAAATAAACATCTGAGATCTAAGTCTGGTGTAAGTGGTGCACACCTGTAATTCCAGCACCTGGAAGGCTGAGATGGGATGGTCTTAAACTGGAGGCCAGCCTGAGCTACATGCACGTCTCAGAAGAAAGCAAAAACAAATAAAAAAGAAAATGCAAGCACCAATTCTCTGTGCTTCCTGACTCAGGGACAGTGTGACCAGCTGCCTTAAGCTCCTGCTTCCAGGCTTCCCCATGGTGAGATGGAGTATGTCAAACCATGAACTAAAAGAAACCCTCCTCCCTCAGAAAATGAAACAAAACAAACAAAAAGTAAACCCACGTTAGGTCTATCTAACAGTCTTCAAACTGGCCCACGGTCCTTTCTCAGTCGCTGTAATCAGGGACGTCACCCTCGATAGTCCCTTTCATCATCTTGGTTCAGCCTAGGTGTCATTCTCAGATCCTCTGTAGCTCCCAGGCCCTAGCAGCATCCTTAGTTCTGCCATGGCCACAGGTCAGTCTAGTCCGGGAAGTGGGCTGGACAGTGTGGGTGTTGTCCCACCATTAAATACCCTAGCCAGACTTGGACAAAACAGTA